GCTTTTTTTTTCTGCTTATGTGGTGCTGAGGAATCGAACCCAGGGCCTCAGGCATGCAAGGCAAGCGCTCTACCACTGAGCCACCTTCCCAGCCCAAGCCTTACCATCTTTCACCGTGGAGATAGACAGTGAAGGTGCAGGGGCTTCGTTCAAAGATCCTTGGATTAGAATATTAGGATCATGGCTAGTCCTGTGACTGTCTTTTAGATTACTTGCTGTAGCCAACCCAGGACTGTGAGACTAATTGTGACTTTCGATTTCCATTTCCTCTCACTTTCCTCTCCAGCCTTGCTATTTCTGAGAGTAGCATGTATATAGATGTGGTCTAGTTGTCAGTAGATCACCAAATGATGTACAAAGATTCCACACCTGCCTCAAATCATTTGCAGCACCATAAGCTGGACAGCCCTTCAGTCCATGTGGAAACTCAAAATTGTGGCACTAAGAGGAAACAGCGGCTACTATAATAAAGTTGTTCACTGTACCCATTAAAGAACAAATGAGTATAAAGGGAAAAGGAATAAATACCGCATTCAAAAGCTGAGCTTATACAATGCATTTTCTGCCCAATGTTATTAGAACAGCAGGTTCCTTCCAATACCTTTCCAATGACTTTTTTTTTTTTTTTGGTTGTGGGGCTTGAACTCTGGGCCTGGCGCTGTCCTTCAGCTCAAGGCTAGGCTCTACCACTTGAGCAACAGCGCCACTTCCGGTTTTTTTCTGCTTATGGTGCTGAGGAATCGAACCCAGGGCCTCATTCATGCAAGGCAAGCACTCTACCACTGAGCCACCTTCCCAGCCCTCCAATGACTTATTCTTATAATGCAAGTCTATACTAAGTATGGGGGTTATCATCACACACTATTAATTGCACTGGTAGTTCAGTTTACCACCTATGCACAGCAGATTTTTGGAGTAAAGGGAAAGGTAAGTCCAGTCAATTCATCTGTTGAAGATAGGCCACTTGAAAAGCAAGAATAACATTCCTTACCAATAATCATGGTTCTGTTGTTTGCCTTAAGTTGCTGCCCTTTCTCATGTGTCCTATTGCCTATCTGCTTCCTCTACCAAAAAAAGGGCTGTTTTCAGAGAGTGAGAAATCAGTTCACAGTGCCTGAGGCTATTAAAGTTTTGGTGTTTTTGTTTTTACATCCCCTCCCTTCTACTGCTTTAACTATTATGTAACACAATTCTGGCATTGATACATAATGGAGTAAGGAGTAAAAGGTAAAAGAGAAAAGAAGAGTTTGCATTTCACCCTTAACTCAAGTTCCTAGGAAGCAAAAACTAGTAGTGAGCTTATATTTGTATAGTTGATGAAAGTCTTGGTCTTACAACATCTTTTCAAGTCATTGATATACCCACACTGATATACCCAGAAACGACTAAACTCATCTATGTGGGAAGAGAAAGCTAACTATCCCTTGAAGCTAAATGAGTACACTTGGTCAGTTGGTCAAATTCAGCATGGCCTGAAAGCTGCATGGCTTGGGGCTGGCTGTGGTCCTGCCTTCTCAGTTGTCTTTCTAAGCTACTTTGTAGGACTGCACACAAATAACTAGTTAGGATGCTAATTATTTTTGACTTGAGACACCACCTGCCCCCTTCTCATGACCAGTTTCACAGGCGTTAAGTGATGTGAATTTGTGACCACAAAAGATGTTGTGCCCAGATGTCGTAATGAGTGTTTGCTTGGTACCATATAAACCCAAACAAGGCAATTTCTCCCTAAAGTGGTGCTTTACTATTTTCCTAGGAGCACCATCTAGTGGTCAAAGCTCAAAACATGACTTACAATTTTTTTTTTTGGAGGGGGATGGGGGGTCCTGTCGTGGGGCCTGAACTGGGCCTGGGCACTGCCCCTCAGCTCTTCAGCTCAAGGGTAACACTCTACCACTTGAGCCACATCACCACATATGTGTTGCTGAGGAATCAAACCCAGGGCCTCATGCATGCAAGGCAAGCACTCTACCACTGAGCCACCTTCTCAGCCCCATAGTACTAGCCTTGAGCAAGAAAGCCAAGTGTGTGAGACCTTGAGATTCAAGCCCCAGTTACACAAAAGTTAAAAGATTTGAATTAGTTGAAATTTGTTCAAAATTGTTAGAAATATAGTATTAAACAAATTAATCCTCATTGCTCATCTGAACTGCACTTCTCAGGATGGTGGGAACATTTGGCCCCTATCTTTCCTGTGGAATTGAGAATGTAAGAACTCCCTTAAAGATGCCCAATGTTGGGCTGGGAAGGTGGCTCAGTAGTAGAGTGAGTACTACGCAGGGAGGCACCTAGGATGACTTACCAGCTTGGCTGCTACCTTCCCTTGGCAACAAAAGCAGTGTCAGAAACACTTCTTTTATCTAATAAAAACATTTTTAAAAGGTTTGTTAGCATATTTAGTTGTACAAGTGGGAATTAGCAGAGCCAAAAGCAATGCTAGGAACATTGATCTAAGAGAATTTTAAAAATGTTTATAGTAGCATATATTAGCTGTATGGGGGAGGGGGGTGGAGAGGTAGGGATGTGGGGAGTCATTGTGACATTCCCATGTATGCTTATAATGTATGCCAAACTCACCCCCTAGTGCTAAGAACATTTCTAATAAATCAGCTCTGACCTTTCATTGGAGTTGGGAGCACTCATTCCCAGCTTTCCTGCCTCCACACTAAGACAGTCATTTGTAGAAAGAACTGGTTTTCCACAGATAATCAGAGAATAGGAGTAACTTCTAAGTCTCATCTTGAGCTAGAGCATGTACTCTTTCAGTTAGATTAGTACTATGTCCATTAAGTTTGGACCCATCATGAAGACAGGTCCCAGCCCATCATACTCATAGCTCCAATTTCCAAATCTCAGAAATATGTCTCAGGATATTTGGAACAGGTGAAAAATACAGGAAAAAAGAATAGTCTCAAAGTTCTGGAAGAGCCCACTGTTAGTCATAGGAAAAGAGAGCTGATGTCTCAAATGTGGCGGGAAGAATTGAATGGATACCAAGGCGGGGTATGTCTTGAGCAGACTTGGACCATAAATTAAATGAGGTTTGAGGCACAGGATCTTGAAACCCAACTGTCCCCCAGATTCCCTGTGACATGAAAATGTGTTCCAGAATGATTTACTACCTGCCTATTTGTGTATGTATGTGTGCGTCTGTGTGCACACAAGTGCTACTTACTGGGGCTGAAATTCAGCTCAGGGCCATAGGCTCTCACTTGGCTTTTTTACTCTAGGGTAGCACTATACCACTTAAGCCACACCTCTTTTCCAGCTTTCACTGGAGAATAAGTATCAGGCTTGCCATCTAAAATTAGTTTGTTTAATGTTAAGATAACTTAGGATCAAGCAATGATCTGACTTCTCTATTTGAAATGCTGACCCTATCCCTAGCTTTCAAGCATAGTATCTGTTGGAGAGGGGAAATATAGGACTCAGTACCAATCTTTACATACAGTATGAACATGGGCAGTTGTAAACTTCCCAGAGCTCCCATAATTCTCAATTCTCTTGAATGGAGAAATAAAATGAAAGGTTTGAATTTTTTATGAGTTAATCCTTTGCTATCTTTACAACTGTTCTTTCATTCTTTTACCTCCTTGTGCTTTCACTTCCCTCTTCAGTAAGAAACTCATCCACAAGTATTTTCAAAATGTTAGATGCTGACCTACAAGCAAAATCGGTGAGCTAAAAAGTAACATTATCTAGATACATAAATCTGAGCCTGCCCTAGAAAAACCATAATAGCCAAGCAACAGTGGCTCACACCTGTGATCCTAGCTATTCAGGAGGCGGAGAGCTGAGGATCGAGGTTTAAAGCCAGCCCATGCAAGAAAGTCCGTGACTCTTATCTCCAATTAACCACCAGAAAATGAAGTGGCACGGCGGCTCAAGTGGCAGAGTGCTACCCTTGAGCTGAAGAGCTGAGGGAAAGCACCCCGGCCCAGAGTTCAAGCCCCACGACCGATGACAAAAAAAAAAAAAAAGCCCAAACCCATCGAGAAAATGCTAGAAAGGGAGAAATTCTTATATCTAAAACACCTCTCAGTCACATCCAAATTATTTTGTTTTACTTTTCAGTAAACATATTCTTAAGACTTTTTATTTTCCTTACTTGACATGGCAATGCCCAAGCAATCAGGAAACATACCTCTTTACAAGCAGTAAGGAAGTTACAGACACAAAGATTAAGGACAACTTTTTATTGCTACCAGAGGCTTTTATCATCAGCACATGGTCTGACTGCAATACCTTCTTCAGACTGCACAAGGAGCTCAGGATCCAGAAGTCATGAAGAGAAATTTGGGTAGGTGGGAGGCAAGGTATTAACGTTGTTATCAAGAAAATCTTAATAGTTAACATAAAACTAAGGTACTGAATTCAGTGATTACGTGTTACAGACTCAAATTATAGAGCTGCCCAACAGACAGTCTCTCCTACTGATTACAAATGAGTGAAAACATCAGTTACAAAAAATCTAATTATACGTTACATACATGTTTCTTTGGTGTGCATCTGGATATATTAACTTTATCAGGAATTCTTCTATACAAATGTCAAAAATGATTTAAACAAACCTAAATGTCCTAATTATATACTCTTTTAAAGCTTTAAAATAAAAATGAAAACAGTAATTTTGTTTCTAACTCAAAAAATTCAATTGAAACAAGAAAATCAATTTTGTAATATGAGAACTTTTCTGTTATCACCTTTGATTCAAATGGGACAATACTAAAGTACCCTTTTCAGACAAATTGGAACTTGAATCAGATTAAACATGGTTGCCACACTAAATTTATTAAATTGATAAAAAAAAATTTCAGGGGTTACCTATTCAATGGAAAACAGTATATAGAGCAACATGCATAAAGTTCATTCAGTATTCATTGGGGAAACAAGCAAAAGCAACAGAAAATTAAATCAAGGCTGTGAGAGCAAAGGTTAGTAACTTTAAATTTTGGAGCCTTTTAAGTATTAACTATGGAATTTTTTGACATGGGGCAAGAGTGGAATTGATACACTACAAAGTTTTCTACTTAAAAATATTTGAATCTTTTGAGGTTATAAATTAATCAATTATAATTAGCCGCCAAATGAACAAGGGCTTTTGTTTTGCTGTATTTTTGTTTGTTTGTTTTTTGTTTTTGGCTCACTTCAAAACAGCCTGAGCTATAGCCTTTCCTGGTTATATGCTTTCATTCCAGAGTAGTCAACCTTAGTTTGCCCTGGCAGGTTAACTAACACTTGGGTGAAAACTACATGACAGAAACAGGCTGCAAAGGAGGACAAGGGGAAGTATGTCCCTCTTGTCTTGACAAATCAGTGCCACACACAGAACCCACATTTTCTGGAGCATTCTCTTCATTATAGAGCCTTTTAATTCCATCATAGAAGTCATCCACTTCCATTTCCTCTACTTTGCGTTTAGCAGAGGTGTGCTTGCACCCACTGGCTGCTGGGACATGATGACAGAAGGCTGCTGTACCTCTGACTGGCACTTCTGGCTTGCTGTTGTCCTTGGAGAAGTCTGGGCCTGAGACAGAGGAAGGATGTAATCTGAACATTCCTTTGTCAGAGGTCACCAGGGTGTGCTTGAGGGGACGGTAGACATAAACGGAATTTAGAGGCAGGGAAGACTGCAGAGTAGAAAGATGATGTGCCACTAGCTCCCGACAGTGGATCAACTGGGAGCTATCCATCTAGGCCAAGGGAGAAAAACACAACAGTGGCCTAAGTAACATAAACCATTGAACACAGGCTATTACCTTCGTCAGGTACCGTTCCATTTTGTGCCCTCTATCCCTCACCTGCCCTTCTCTCCCCACACTCTCCCTCACACTAGTTCCTCCAGCCTACCTATCTTAAATTATGCCTACCTGTCTTAAATTAGCCTATTTTAAATTATGTTCAAATCTATAGTTCTATGGAGAACTCTGTATTCGATTATACATTTGCAATGGTATCCTGGACATTTATATGAGAGCAGAAACTTTTTTCTTCACTGCTATATAAATTATGTGTATATATCTTTGAGTCTCTTCCTGTTTCTAAGACCCTTTAATACCCTATCCTCTTGGCCTCTTTTAACTTCAATTAAAAAAGTAAAAGACATGGGCTGGGAAGGTGGCTCAGTGGTAGAGCGCTTGCCTTGCATGCCTGAGGCCCTGGGTTCAATTCCTCAGCACCACATAAGCAAAAAGAAAAAAGCTGGAAGTGGCGCTGTGGCTCAAGTGGTAGAGTGCTAGCCTTGAGCTGAAGAGCTGAGGGACAGTGCCCAGTCCCAGAGTTCAGGCCCCACGACCAGACCCCCCCCAAAAAAAAGTAAAAGACAGGGGCTGTGAAGGTGGCTCAGTGGTAGAGTGCTTGCCTTGCATGCATGAGGCCATGGGTTCAATTCCTTAGCACCACATAAGCAGAAAAAAAAGTCGGAAGTGGTGCTGTGGCTCAAGTGGTAGAGCGCTAGCCTTGAGCTGAGGGACAGTGCCCAGGTCCAGAGTTCAGGCCCCACAACTGGAACCTCCCCCCCTCCGGAAAAAAAAAGTAAAAGACAAACACAAGGTTCATTAAGAATCTATGCCAGGGAAAATGAAGACAAATTTAAACCAGGATGACAGGAAACTCTAGTTAAGAATTTATTTAAAAACAATAAATGAAAACTTTCAACAAGTTTTATTTTTGTAGAAAACAGTAAACTTTATGTTAAAACACTAGGAATAAATGTTTTTGTTTTTTGAGTTTTGCTATTATGTCCTTATTCTTCAGGACAGTTCAGACAGCAATCCTTTTTGGAGCCACACTTGTCTTTCCTAACTCCCTGAACCACCCAACTACTTACATGACCATGTTTCTCTATCAACCCATCACCATACTTAACCACATTATATTAGAATAATAACCTACTTAATCCTTTGGCCTTTCATTATAGACTACAAGATTTTTAAGTCACAGGCATTTATATCATAGACATCTTTTTATACCCCAGTTCTAACACAATGACACCACATGAAGGGCCTTCAAAATCTTACCTAAAGTCTGAATTTCAAGCTGGGGCTCAAGAGGCAGAGTGCTTGCTTAGCAAGCCTGAAACCCTGAATTTAATCCTCATCAGTACTACAATAACATTGTATCTTACTTTCCCTGTAATGACAGCACTGTCAAAACAATCTACAGCATCTTATGTTTCTCTCTTTATCAACTATCTTTAGTAGCATATCACAATGCTGCCAGAAAAAAAAAAAGTTTAACTTTTAGCCTGATGACATTCTATAATGTGATCCCTACTTTCTTTTCCAGTCTATTTCCTAGCATACCCTCAAACTTATGCTCTATATACTGGACATACAGGTCTGCTCTATTTATATACAAATCTACGTTGCCCTTGCTCATTCTTTTTTCTTTTTTCCCCAGTCTTGGGGCTTGAACTCAGGGCCTGGGCACTGCCCCTGAGCTTCTTTTGCTCAAAGCTAGCACTCTACCACTTGAGCCACAGTACCACTTCCAGCTTTTTATGTTTATGTGGCATTGAGGAATCAAACCCAGGGCTTCATGCATGCTATGCAAGCACTCTACCACTAAGCCATATTCCTAGCCCCTGCTCATTCTATTTCTACCTGTTGAAACGATCTTATCCATTTCCTCCACGGCCAGCTAAATGCTATTACCTTTAGAAAGTTTATCATGGCAATCACTTTTTCTAGTTTTGTACATATTATAGCTGTTTTAGCCTTTTTTGTATGTTTTTTGAGATAGAGCCTTCCAACAGTCCAGGCTGGCCTTGAACTTAAGTTCTTCCTGTCTCTGTCTCCCAAGTGCTGGGATCACAGGGCTGGGATCACTTGGCTTACTCTGGACATTTCTTAACCAACTCTGGTTCATCCCTATATAAACTACCACATAGCACAACTGTTTACAAAGGAAAATATCAAACTCTACAAGAACATATTTGGTAACAAAATTAATTTATGTATAAATATATTCATTTTAGGTTATTCAGGAAAGAATTTGTGGAAGAAAGGATAAAAGGCATTTGGTATTATGTAAATACAAATGTCAAACTGTCAAAAATATACCACATGCTGTAGATTTTAGTACCTACCATTTTGTCCACTGACTTTCTCAACCTCTTTCAAAAAAATGTATTATTCTAAAAAGACATTAACTAGTATTGGAACTTTCTTCCTTAAAAAAAATTACACAATACTTAAAGACAGCCTCATTAACTATCAAACTTACAACTACAGGGTAGGTTTCATTATTACCTGGGTTTTAGAAGCTGATCTCTGCTAAATACTGGAAGAGAAGCAAAGGGGAGGGGTTCCTGCCAATATTTTAAACAATCTCCAAAACAACTAATACAAGACAGATACTGGGTAGCGAAAAGGCTATAGTGTTGGAATTACTTCTTCAATTTGAAAGAATTTTGAATTCTTTAAATACCAAAAATATTCTAATGCCTTTATCACTAAACATAGTAAACATAGTAGACTCAAGAAACTATGAATTATAAGCCGGTCGCTGGTAGCTCATGCCTGTAATCCTAGCTATTCAGGAGGCTGAGATCTGAAGATCAGGGTTCAAAGCCAACCTGGGCAGAAAAGTACCATGAGACTCTTATCTCCAATTAACCACTCAAGAAACTTGGAAGTGGTGCCATGACTCAAGTTGGTAGAGCACTAGCCTTGAGTAAAAAAGCTCCGGGACAGCACTCAGGCCCTGAGTTTAAGCCCTCTGACACAAAAAATTTTTTTGAATTAAAAGGAAAACTATCATATTTGTATGACAAAGGAAAATGAATATTTTATAGATAAGGACAGGCAGAAAAGGAGTTAGAAAGCCTTTTTTAAAAATCATCCAAACTGGGCTGGGAAAGTGGCTTGGTGGTAGAGTGCTTGCCTTGCATGTGTGAAGCACCACAAAAGCAGAAAAAGCAGAAGTGGCACTATGGCTCAAGTGGTAGAGTGCTAGACTTGAGCTGAAGAGCTGAGGGACAGCACCCAGGCCTGGAGTTCAGGCCCCATGGCTGACAAAAAATACAAAACAAAACTCATCCAAACTTAGCTGAGCTCTGGTACCTCACGCCTGTAATCCTAGCTACCAAGAAGGCTGAAGATCACAGTTGAAAGCCACCTCAGGCAGAGAAGTCCAGGAGACTCATATCTCCAATTAACCACGAGAAAACCAGAAGTGGTGCTATAGCTCAAAGTAGTAGGGAGCTAGCCTTGAGCTAAAGAACTCAGGGACAGCGTGCAGGCCCAGGAGTTCAAGGCCCATGATGGATAAATAAATTATTCAAGTGAATACTTCATATGAGAGCTGGGAAGGTGGCTCAGTGGTAGAGCGCTTGCCTTACATGCCTGAGGCCCTGGGTTCAATTCCTCAGCACCACATAAGCAAAAAAGAAAAAACCAGATGTGGCGCTGTGGCTCAAGTGGTACAGTGCTAGCCTTGAGCTGAAGAGCTGAGGGACAGCGCCCAGGCCCAGAGTTCAGGCCCCACGACCAGAACAAAAAAAAAACAAAACTTCATATGAACTCTACTTCCATCCAAATCCCAAGGCAGCCCTTTGTTCAAAGTAACACATCAAGATAAACTCTTATCTAGTACAATCTAAATCTGTTACTGTACAAAAACAATTTGATCTTGGTGAGACAAGAACCTTAAACAGCTAAGTATTTATTGTAAGGGATCTCTCAAAGAGATTTAAAATGAACTCTGTAATTACTATGTCAAAATGACATGACAATTTTCCTGACTTTTTCCCCCCAAATATGAATATGGCAACCATCTCTAAGAATCCTTTGCTAGTAAATAAGCAAAACCAAATGTAGCTCTCAGGGAGTACATCAAGCAGCATTAAAGCAGACAAAGTATAAGGAGAAAGGGGAGCAATGATGATATAAGTGATAGTCCAGATGGTCCAGGTTTGGAAGCAACATGAAGCATTGAAAATGATTGCTGGAATAACCTGACCTTAGGTACCTTCAGACTATCTACTTTGACTACTGCTTGACTTAAGTAGGGAGACCACCACACAAATATTAGTAGGTAAGATTCTGGGTGAACTGCATCAATCAGAAAGAGGAGGACTACATGGTGCATGTCCATACAAGCAGAACAAGGGTAAAATAAGGAATAAGAAGAGGAAGAGGTTTAGCCATCCTAGAGTACAACGAATAGCTCAAGACCTTACAAAGGGAGCTGGGTAGAGGGAAAGACTAGGAAAATGGAGGTAGTTTACCTTTCAAACCAGTGAACAACCAGAGTCTGGCCAAAAAAACCCACAAAATACACAGCACAAAATACCTGTGAATGGACCCTCTCTCCAACTGCAACACTGAGAATTACGTACAGAAATAATATAAGCACTGGGCTAGGGCTATAACTCAGTGGTAGAATACTTGCCTAGCATGTGCAAGGCCCTGGGTTTGACTGCCTCCACCATGAGGTGGGGGAGAATATCTGAGCACCAGCAGCTCATGCCTGTAAGCTACTTAAGAGACTGGGATCCAGAGGATCTCAGTTGAAGTCTGTCTCAGATATCCACCTCCAAATATTATCAGCAAAATACTGGGTTTCAAAACACCAAAGAATTTCAAACACCAAAGAAATCCAAACCTTTGTCACAGATCTAATCATCAATAATCTGAACACATGAATTTTAACATTTAACAATGCCAGCAATGAGCCCAGAAAACCAGGAGCTGTTCATGTGTGTGGGTAGGTCATCAGCCCAAACTGGTTTAAGAATGAAAGAACTGATAAATCAAGTTCCAATGTTTCTATCAAGTTTTATGAGCTTACCTGGTTCTGTTCACTGTCTGACTGTAATTTGAATACTACATGGATCAGAGTCCATGAAATCAGGGGCTGGGAAGGTGGCTCAGTGGTAGAGAGCTTGCCTTGCATGCCTGAGGCCCTGGGTTTGATTCCTCAGCACCACATAAGCAAAAAGAAAAAAGCCAGAAGTGACGCTGTGACTCAAGTGGTAGAGTGCTAGCCTTGAGCTGAAGAGCTGAGGGACAGCGCCCAGACCCAGAGTTCAGGCCCCACGACTGGACCCAAAACAAAACAAAACAGAGTCCATGAAATCAGATTCATCAATTGAGACTGCATCCTCTCCCCTATACATACTTTACAATGGAGAGCTTCACTTTGTATTTGGCACTGCATAAAGATAAATTTTGTAGGGTAGAGAAAAGAAAATTTTGGAAACCAGTAGACTTGAATCTTTAAACTTTGTATGATATTAACACATACACACATTCTTTTTATCATTACTGAGTAGTTCTATATGATTCTAAGAAAATGTCAAATTCTCTGAAGTAGAACGTAAGAGTTCAACAAAATGTTTTCTAAAAAGATCCATTAAATTTCAAGTATGTAGTATTCTATTAATTAAGGAGAAACAAATTTCAGGGAGCACATCCTTTTTCTAGAGCCAGAAAACATAGTAAAGAGAATCAAATGATTCTCTAGTGATCTTCAAAAGATACGAAGCTCCCAAAACCACAGAACACTGCAACTTATAACAATCTATTTATGCTTCAAAATTTGTCCTTTCCTCACAACACCAATACTTTATACAGCATTTGGGTTTTTTTTCCCCTGTACTAATTTGAGAGCAGATACAGAGGTCAAGTCAGAATTCACAGAGGCTATTTTTCTAATAAGTAAGTCTTTCTATTAATGTTTATTTTCCTCACTTTCTAGTATAATGTGAATGATTGATATTCAACTTTATTTTCTAATACTTTAGGTAGGCCAAAATGAGGCGGTTTCTAAGTTTCCAAAAATCCTCACTGAAGAGCAAATATCTTCTAGGATTTATTTCTACTACAGTATTTAACTCAATGGAAATAAACATTAAATTATTTTAATCTAAGATAAGCTGTTTAATAAAGAACAACCTTGTCACAACATAGGCAGAATGCTGTTTCTTATCATCACTCTTTTTTTTCTGCCTAGTCCTGGGACTTAAACTCAGGGACTGGGCACTGTCCCTGAACTTTTTGTTCAAGACTAGCACCCTACCAGTTGAGCCACAGTACAAGTTCTGGCTTTTTCTGTTTATGTGGTACTGAGGAATTGAATCCAGGGCTTCATGCATGTGCAAGGTGAGCACTCTACCACTAAGCCACAATCCAAGCTCCATCAGCACTCTTTTTATGAAAACTCTCTTAGCTCTTCTCTATTCACAAACGGGAATCTAAGAAGCTGAGACGTATGACATACTTAGGTTCTGGTAACTTTGACAGCTCACGTTTGTAACCTCACCAAATAGCTCACCAGACAATAAAGCCAAGTATTTTTTCTCTTTATTGCATTTTCACTAACGAGTAAAATAGTATGCAGATCTTTGCTATGTTTAGTTCTCTATATTCCAATTTTTTTTAAGCTCAGAATTCAAGTCATCTGAACAGAACCCAATAAAAGAAACCAATTTCAACTGCATTAAATGTAAATAAATACAATCATCTGAAGGCAACGTGGTTCATGAGTTTCTTACAAGTATAGAGCAGGGGTATTGCCTACAAATTAAAACTGATTAATTCTATTAGGTGACATAACAGAGTAAGGCTTCTCTACAAATAGTTGATAATATATAGCACATTTATTATAACCACATTTGAGTAAGAATTTTCTCCACCAAATCATTATATTTTACTTAGGGGGTAGATATTTTATCAACCAATAACATTTTACACCAACTAGGAAGTGTAAGTTACAAGCTAATTTTAGGTAATAATAATAGCAGGATAAGACCTTTCAGAAACAGCTTTTACCTGCCGTAGTTTACTACAAATAACCTCACTTTCTAATCATCAATAAATTTATTTGTATAAAAAGTAACTTTTTATGGTTGGTATTTTTAACCTCTTGGTAAGATGAGTAGAATAGAAAAGCACTATATGAACCTACTGCTATGGTTAGGTAGTTCTTTATATAAAACTAAAAGAGAAATATTAACAATCAGACATCCAATCTACAAGTTTAAAGTGGATAATACTCTGGCCTTTTTTTTTTTTTTCTGGTCAGTTGTGGGGCTTGAACTCTGGACCTGGGCCTGGGTGCTGTCCTTCAGCTCTTCAGCTCAAGGCTAGTGCTCTACCACTTGAACCACAGCACCACTTCTGGTTTTCTGGTGGTTTTTATTGGAGATAAGAGTCTCCTGGACTTTCCTGCCCAGGCTGGCTTTGAACCATGATCTTTAGATCTCAGTCTCGTGAGTAGCTAGGATTACAGACATGAGCCACCAGCACCTGGGCGAGCCTATTTTTAAGAGTAGTTTGCCATTACTAGATTAAAAATATCCGTTAGTTTTATAACTGCTATGTATTCCAGTTAAAAGGAAGACTTAAAATAAAACTTTTTAATTACATTGACACCTACCTGTGCTTTCTGAAGCAGTTCAATTGTAAGAGGAAGCCAATCAGGAATGAGTTTCTCCATTTCCAAACTAACCATAGCCAGTGCAAGCATGGATCCTTTGAACTGCAGAAGTGGGTTGCAGGCCATACAATAAAGTAGTTGCTTGGTAAGTACTGCCAGATGTTGAGATGGGCTCAATTTGGGCAAATTGAAAAGTAACTGAGGCCTAGTTGACACTGCAATGGCATGAAACTTATAAAAAAGAAAGAAAAGAAAACCACAAAACATCATGTTAGTTTTACTTAAGTGTCTAAGGAAATAATGTATAGAAATGAATTGTCATTCAATCTGTAAGTTAGAAATTTTAGCTTCTATTTCTATCTTTTCTTGATTTAGTTTTCCTTTTCCTAAGTAAAATAAATGAGTGGCCAATCTCTTCTTCAAATTACAAAAACAACTAAACACTCAAATAAGCAACTAAAAGTCAGGTACCAGGAAACCATGTTATCCTAGTGGTTTAGAAAGTGAGACCTGGAGAATCACAGTTCAAAGCTAAGCTGGGGAAAGAAAAGTCTGAAAGACTCCATCTTCAATTAACCAGCAAAAAGTTTGGCTGGAGGCATGATTCAAGTGGTAGAATGGCAGTTTGAAACAAGCAATCTGAATGAGTACAAGTCTTTGAGTTCAAACTCTGGTACTCACAAACAGGAAGTCGGAGAAGGAACAAGAGAGGAATGAAAAGGAAGGAAAGGTAAGAGGATGAGAAGAGGACAAAGAGGAGAACAAGAAGAACTTAAGCTTTTGGGTATACTTACAATGTGAAGAAAATCCAATGGTGTAGCTGTATGAAGATCCCAATTCAATTTATCCAGAATAATTCTTTCCATTCTCAAAATTTCAGATGAGGAACAGCCACAGAAACTATCTCTTGCCAATACCTTCAGCACTGGAATTTTCTATCCAAAGCAAAGGGGAAGGGGGACAAAGTGGAAAGGACAGGAATACATTTCAGTTTTTGTCTGGCAAGCAAAAATAAATTTCAAAAAAGAAACATAACTAATCTTAGAAAGATTTATTACCTCATCCTCTTCAACAGTCTTGGCAGCTAGGAAAAAACAACTGATTGCAATACAACTCAAATATTTTGGATGGGCCTAAAATTTTGAAAAGGAAAAAAGCAATTTTAATTAGTTCAAAAATATGAAGATGTAACAAGTATGTACACAATTCCTTAACTGATTACAACCACTTCATTTTATATTAGTGCTTTTTACACTGTAATTAACCCTATTCATTTATAAGGTAATCTACTGAAAAATTAAAATTATTCTAATGCTGGAAGTTTAGCCAATAAAGGGAAGCTTAATTGTCTTTTTGTGCTGATCCTGGGGCTTGAACCGAGGGCCTGGGTGCTGTCCCTGAGCTTTTTTTCTTCAGGCTAATGCTCTATCACCACTTGAGCCACAGTTCCACTCTCTTTGGTGGTTAACTAGCAATAAGTCTCATGTACTTCCTGCCTAGGCTGGTTTTGAACTGTGATCCTCAGATCTCCATCCTGAGTAGTTAAGTTTACAAGGACCACTGGCACCTGACAGCATGAAAATCCCGATTTTAAAAGGCAAGTTTTTCATATAATAAAGAATATTCTCTAATTTTTAAATCATGTATATACATTTTTTTTTGGGTCCGGTCGTGGGGCCTGAACTCTGGGCCTGGGCGCTGTCCCTCAGCTCTTCAGCTCAAGGCTAGTGCTCTACCACTTGAGCCACAGCGCCACTTCCAGCTTTTTTCTTTTGGCTTATGTGGTGCTGAAGAATTGAACCCAGGGCCTCAGGCATGCAAGGCAAGCGCTCTACCACTGAGCCACCTTCCCAGCCCAAGATCTGCAGTTTCATAAGACAAACTTAAACCACGTGCTTTCTATTCTAAATCCGGAACATCAGGCATGCAAGGCAAGCTCTCTACCACTGAGCCACCTTCCCAGCCCCTGCATGTTTATTTTTAAAACAAACTAGCATGAAAAAAATGTAAGTGAAACTACTGGTATATTTCAAATGCTTTAAAAACAAATATATAATACTAGTAGAAAGTAGAAATTTTACGTACGTACACACACACACACACTCAAGTCTCATAAGAACACACACACACACACACACACACTCAAGTCTCATAAGAACAAAAAGGTCCTAAACTCATACAAGGTCAATTAATGGTAAACATATGTACTTCTTGTTGGGAGCCAGTGGTTCACATCTATAATCCTAGCTACTCAGGAGACTATAAGATCTGAGGCATGCAATCAACCTGAGCAGACAAATACAAAAACTCTTCATCTCTAACGAGCAAAAAGTTGTAAGTGGTGCTGTGTTCCTATCTATAAGGTAAGATCATTTTCAAAGTGTCTGTTAGTGCAAGTATGAGATGAGGAACAGATGAAGAATAGCACCCAAATCTAATTTTCAGTAACAATTTGCACAAATTCATTAATATAGGTAAGTTGGAACCCTTATGTATAACTAAGGTAAGAAGAGAGCTATGCAGGAGGGCTTCATAGTGATGTTTGTCTGCTAGGATTAAGGCTTCATCCACTATGCAGCCTTTTATGGTTCAAATGCCTATACTTAAGCTACAGGCTACATTATCTTTTTAAATATAGATCAGCTATCTGTAGGTAAGATTTTTGGATATTAATAAATACGACAGGATCCAATTAGTAAAGAAGATGAAAAATAAGATTGTATTTGGCAAAATTCTGAAAATACCTGGCCAAACATGTTTAAAATGTTCAATAAATATAGGAAGAATTTTATAATAAATTCACAACAATAATAATCATTGAAAAATATACAACTCAAAATAGACACGTAAATATCTGTGAAAGGGAGGCTGGCTATGTATTTAATATACACTATACATTATAGAAAGAAGGAAGGTTTGGGGCTGGAAGGTGGCTTAGTGGTAGAGCGCTTGCCTTGCATGCCTGAGGCCCTGGATTTGATTCCTCAGCACCACCTAAGCAAAAAAGAAAAAACCGGAAGTGGCACTGTGGCTCAAGTGGTAGAGTGCTAGCCTTGAGCTGAAGAGCTGAGGGACAGTGTCCAAGCCCAGAGTTCAGGCCCCATGACCGGACCAAAAAAAAAAAACAGAAGGAAGGTTTGTTGCTAAAAGTAGGTATTTCAGGCAAGGCTCAGGTTGTAGAGTGCCAGACAGTAAGTGAGAGCAAGCATCAGATACCAAGTTTAGTCCTGGTTTCGGACAAAAACAGAAAGAAAAAAGAAAGGTAGGTATTTCATAGAAGCCATATTTCAGGCATTATAAATTAAGGGCTCTTTTTAAAAATCTCTTAAGATTAAAAGTTTGAAGGTACGTACTTTTCTATCTGATTCACTGGGCAGCACTCATACATGAAATTATTAAATACTATCAATGCTATATGGTTTGTATTGCAATCAAGAGAGGAAAATGTCTTAGGGTCTGAGTACTTGCAACAAAAAGAAAGTTAAAAAAGACTGCCGGGCACCGGTAGCTCACACTTGTAATTCTAGCTACTCTCGAGGCTGAGATATAAGGATCACGATTTAAAGCCAGCCTGAGCAGGATTGTCCGTGAGCTTCTTATCTCCAATAAACCACCAGCAAACTGGAAGTGGTGCTGTAGCTCAAGTGGTAGAGATGAAGAGCTCAAGGACAGCGCTCAGGCCCTGAGTTCAAGCCCCACGACGAACGAAAAAGCAAAAACACAAAAAAAAACAAAAGATAACAAGAAATGCTTCAAAATTTTAAAGCAACAGAAGACACTATGTCTTCATATGGATGCATACATGTTTACTATGAACCTTAATTCAACATATAAATCTTTAAACAACAGGTTATTTATGTTCAAGTCTCTTAAATACTTACCTTTACAGTAGCTAAAAATCTGTCCAAAAGACTGCTAGCCAGAGCAAATGTTTCTGGGTAAAGGTTGAACTGGTATTTGAGCTTAGCCAGCCACTGAATTACTTCATCTCTCTGGGATGGAGAAACATTCTGTAAAAGGAGTAATTAAAAATTGAACGTTACCATCAAGAGTTTATTTAGATTTTGCTTATTACTAAATAGTACATACACTGGATGCTGGTGGCTCATGCCTGTAATCCTAGCTACTCAGGAGGTTGAGATCTGGGGATTGGGGTTGGAAGCCAGCCCAAGTGGGAAAGACTATAAGACTTTTATCTCCAATTAACCACCAAAAAGCAGGAAGTAGAGCTGTATCTTAAGTGGTAGAGTGCTAGTAGCCTTGGGCACAAAGATTCAAGACAATGCCCAGGCACTGAGTTCAAGACTGAGGATCAGCACCAAATTAAAAACAAAACAAAATAAAATGACATTACACCTTAAAATTTAAGTAAAATTTTTACCAACTGACAATTTTATAATTAATTTCTCTTGAAAATAAAATATACTAAGTTTCCTTTTTTTTTGGTGTGGTGGGGGGTCCGGTTGTGGGACCTGAACTCTGGGCTTGGGGCTGTCCCTCATCTCTTCAGCTCAAGGCTAGCACTCTACCACTTGAGCCACAGCGCCACTTCCGGCTTTTTTCTTTTTGCTTATGTGGTGCTGAGGAATCGAACCCAGGGCCTCATGCATGTAAGGCAAGTGCTCTACCACTGAGCCACCTTCCCAGCCCTAAAATTCCTTTTAATATAGGAAATAGCCACTAATTTATCTCAGAAAACATAAATGATAACAGAGTATGAGTATGATAACAGAATGATAGCTATAGTAACAAAAAATGCCAGGGACAACATATCATTCAGGTAAAGATAATGAAAAAGATACTGCAGGAGAAATTAACCTTAACTAATTACTTGGAAAGATTGCCAGAAACACAAAATATGATTATTATTTTAATTTTTCTACACTATGTTTTAGAAGGTATACCAAATACAGTGACTTATGCATCTTTACCCCTGAATTTCATCATTAGTAAACAACTAGTAATAATCTAAATGACTATGGCTTTATGTTTAGATTCAAAGAGTATTTTCAATAAGGTAAAGGCTCAAACTAATCAAAGCATTGCAATCTTTATCATATCATTGCATTAACCATGTCTGATGAAAATCATATTAAAATATATTACTTGTTCTTTAGATAGTAACCATAGCTCAAGCCTTCTTCCTAATTATTAGCAACTTAATGAAATTAATTCCTCTACCAAGATGTATTAACAAACCAGGCACACGTGGTTCACACTTGGATTACAAGCAATTCAGGAGGCTGAAATCTAAGGATGGGGTTCAAAAGCAGCCTGGGCAGACAAATCTGAAAGCCTCTTTTCTATACTTATCTAGCAAAGAGCTGGAAGTGGCTCACGTGGCAGAGCACCAGCCTTGAGCAAAAAGCTAAGTGAGAAGAGGCTCTGAGGTTCAAGCTCTAGTATTAGTGTGCATACATGCACACACAGTGCACACATACACACAGCATTAACAGTTATTAACACACTAAAGATTATATTTGACAAATGTTTTTCTAGTTACTCAAATCAACTTATCAAAGCTTACAACTTTTACATCTAGCTCTAAACTCTTAATGGGATTTTTAAAGGTTAACTGCCATACATCCACCTCTTAGCCAATTCCCTTAAGCATGACCCTATAAAAAAGGAAAAGAAATACTAACAAGAAAATATAATAAAGGTAGTTTGTAGTATCTTCTCTAGCCAGGCCCCGGTAGCTCATCCCTGTAATCCTAGCTACTCAGGAGACTGAGATCTGAGGATCGTGGTTCAAAGCCAGCCAGGGCAGGAAAGTCTGTGAGACTCTTATCTCCAATAAACCACCAGAAAACCATAAGTGGTGCTGTGGCTCAAGCAGTAGAGCGCTTACCCAAGATCGCAGGGACAGCGCCCAAGCCGAGTTCAAACCCCATGACCGACCAAAAAAAAAAAATCATTATTTGGCTAGGCACTGGTGACTCCTGCTTATAATCCTAGCTACCGTAGGAGGCTGAGATCTGGAGACTGTGTATGAAGTCAGTCCAGCAGAGAAATTTGAGAATTTTATCTCCAATTAACCAGCAAAAAAAAGCCAGGGGCTGGGAAGGTGGCTCAGTGGTAGAGCGCTTGCCTTGCATGCATGAGGTCCTGAGTTCGATTCCTCAGCACCACATAACCAAAAAGAAAAAAAGCCGGAAGTGGCGCTGTGGCTCAAGTGGTAGAGCACTAGCCTTGAGCTGAAGAACTGAGGGACAATGCCCAGGCCCAGAGTTCAGGCCCCATGACCGGACCCAAAAAAACAAAAAAGCCAGAAGTAGAGCTGTGGCTCAAGTGGTAGGGTGCCAGTCTTGAGTGAAAACACTAAGGGACAGGACCTCAGCCCTGAGTTAGATCATAGTACTATTGCAGAAAAAAAAATCCTATTATTTCATGTTTGACAATTAACACAAACATATTACGTTAAGAAGTATTACTGGGCACTCACTGGCGGCTCACATCTGTAATCCTAGCTTTTGAGGAGGATGAACATCATGATTCAAACCCAGCCTAGGCAGGAAATGTCCATGAAATTGATCTCCAATTTACCACCAAAAAGCTAAAAGTAGAGCTGTGGCCCAAATGGTAGAGAACCAGCCTTGGGCACATTAGTGCCCAGGCCTGAGTTCAAACCCCAGAACTGACACACCGACACACACAAACTTTAAGGAGTATCACCAATGACAAAAAGAATATAGCTGTGGAGATTACCATATTATAGTTGTGACATTAAGTGATGTAACTTACAGAAGTATATACAGAATGAACAGGCATTCAAATATTAGATTCTCTAATGAGAGGAAAGAAATTACAAAATGTTATTTTTGAATAATTATTTTAAAATAATATAATCATAAGATAAATCAGACCAAAAAAGCATTATCTCTAGCCCAAACCAGCAATAACAATAGAAAAAACTCCACAGAATAGTTTCAGAAGACACATTCTTACTCTTACTGAAGTTAATACAGATCTATAAGATCACTTCTTCAAATCAATTCAAATGTAGTAAATATTAGTGTTATGTTATCTTTTCAAAATTAAGTTCTATCCCTAAGTAAAGGTAAAGAGAATGGAAGTTGAGGCCAGACTAGGCAAAAAGTTAGCAAGATCTCATCTCAACAAATTGGAGCACAGGTATACTACCAGCTACATGGATTGCAGTTTAAGGCCTATACAGAGAAAAAGCAGGAAATTGTGTGGTACATAAACACAAAGGAATTTTACTGTAATTATAAAGAATAATATTATGTCATTTGCAAAGAAATGGATGAACCTAGAACAAATCATGTTAAGTGAGTAAGCCAAGGTCAGAGAGAGACACAACACTTGTTTACTGTCTTATGAGAAAACTAGATCTGGACATGACTACAACTGGACATGACAATTTATGGGACTCTAGGCATTCACACACAGATTAAAGGTGGATTCTCTCAGGGGAGGAACCCAAAGGATTAACTCATTTAAAATATTATTTATCAAAACTATTTAATCAAAATATTAAATACGGGCCAGGAAGATGGCTCAGTGGTAGAGCGCTTGCCTTGCATGCATGAGGCCCTGGGTTCGATTCCTCAGCACCACATAAGCAAAATGAAAAAAGCTGGAAGTGGCGCTGTGGCTCAAGTGGTAGAGCACTAGCCTTGAGCTGAAGAGCTGAGGGACAGTGCCCAGGTCCAGAGTTCAGGCCCCACAACCGGACCCAAAAAATAAAAAAATATATATCAAATACTATTACTGAAACATTCCAGGAAATGGAAACATGATTGGTGGTGGTGGTGCTGTTGTTTTGTTTTTGCTTTTAGTAATTTGTCTTTTTTTTTGGGGGGGGGCACAGAAATGGAGGGAGGAAGGTGAACAAATGCAGTCACAGTATTCAGTATAAACTATGTAGAAAATTAACTATGCAGCTTGTGGACAGGAATGGGAAGGGGAAACTGAGGGAAAGTGAAAGAGGGGTGACACTGTCTAAAAAGAATTGTAGTCATCACCTGACTTAAGAAATAGTAATCCCTCTGTACAACACCTTAATATACAATAAATTTATACACACACACACACACACACACACACACACACACACACACACACGCAGAAAGCTATCTAAAAATAACTAAAGCATGAGGACACCAGTGGCTGAGTCACGCAATCCTAGCTACTCAAGAGGTTGAGATTTAGAAGATCCTGTTTCTAGTCTATGCAGAAAATTTCACTATATTTCATGTCCAAAATAACCAGCAAAAAGCAGGGCTGGAGATATGGCTCAAATGGTAGAAGCTAGGCTAAAAACACAAGGTCTTGAGTTCAAACTGCAATACTGCCAAAAAATAAAGATGAATAAAATCAGTTCAAAAAGGTTGGGGTATAACTCAAATAGTACAGCAACTGCCTAGCAAAGGAAAGAATTTAGTTTAAACCCCAGTAACTCCCTCAAAAGGAGAAACAATGTTATTCAGCTACATTTCTATTCCTATGTGTGTCAAATACACACACACACACACACACACACACACACACACACACACACAGCACACATTATGTTATTTCCTTCATGGAGTTAGTCTCTTCATTAAAACAGTAGTAGCCTAAGTTTAAACATGTTATCTATGTTTTTATGATAAGGTTTTATCTTTGTAAATCAAAAGCACTTTCACAAAATAAATTTAGACTATTTAAAAGTGTTATTGACTAGTTTTAATTTTTACCCACTCATATAACAAAGTAAGCATAAATTTCAAAATACTATTACACAAAAGAATTTCTCTACATTGCAAGTACCAAAAACATAATAAGATCATCACTATTCATTTATCAAGGGTTTACTTAGAGTGTGTGCCAATACACAAAAACTATATTACCTCAAGAAAAGTCAGTTGAAATTGCAATATTGTATGTTTTCACAAGATCAGTACAGAGTTTTCTGTGTGGGAGCACAAAGGAATGATAGGTGTATTAATATTCTTGCCTAACCACACACACTGTGCTTAACTTGGGCATAATGGATACAATAGAGAACTATGAGAATCTCAGAAGTCTGATTCTGAGATTCTCAAAAAGTTTGGCTAGGGAAAAGGATGGAAGAGAAAACTAATGAAACTTCACAATATCTAAAGAAGCTTCACACAAAATTAAGGAAGCTTCACAGTACCTAATTTTTCCATATTTATGAGCATCTAAAAAATAGAAATATAGAATAATAGAAAGGGAAGACCAATCCCTACCTGATCAATAAAAAATTAAACTACTCTGGGTGTCACTCTGGCAAGCAGCTCAAAAGTTCCCTACCTTTTTATAGGGAGCTTTATCTCCTGTCCTGACCAGACTGAGCCACTCAACTTTTACAGGTATTAAGCAAAGCTTCTACTTGGCATTACTAAAGGTTAAGTTCTTAAGGAGTGAAACGCTCTTAGAAATTTTGATACTGTTCTCTTCTGTTATTTACTCCTCTTCTCTGTTATTTACTAATATTCTTAAACCACCTAGAAAAATAGGCTAGGTTAAAAATATCACCTTCAAAGACATACTGAAAATGTTTATTATTGTTGGTTACATGCTGATTCAAGGAGACAGAAGTTTCTAAAAACAGCTACTAAGGGATAAAAAAATAACGGGGTAAATGTGATCAGGTACATTATATGCATGTATGGAAGTATCACATGAAGTCCCTTTGTACAATATGTACTAATTAAAAAAGTAAAAACTTGGACATAAACTATAGAAGCAGATGTTGAAAGGCTTTGAGGCTCACTAGACATAAAGGCAAATTTGGAATTCTTTCTACTGTTGTCTGCCAATATGTACAGTAGTACAGTAGTGCCTAGAATATGTTAAAATATGCAACCAGCACTTATATGTTAGGGAAAAAAAACCCTCACAAGCTCATGAAAATATAAACACGAAATGCAAGGTATGAGAAGAGATTATCCTAGGTAAAGATTCAAATTATAAATATTACTCATTAGCTTAGGTTTTAAGCAAATTAAGACTACGTATTTTAGATCATTAAAGGACAAAGTAAAGTATACAGAAATGTTCTTATTACAGAAGGTACTCATTCAAGTCAACTCATCTTCAGTTTTCAAAATGACAAATAATAGTAAGTTAGTTCTCCAGCTTGTGAGAAAGAATAAGAGTAGGCAGAATTAAAATAATGCAGAAGGAACTTAAATATGTCATTCATTCACTCATATATATTAAAAGTTTCTTGGCCATCATTTTATATTAAGCAAATACCGTGTTAAGTACGAGGAATGAAAAGCTGTCTCATATAATAAAATTGTGGAATAGATAAAGTTATTTTTTAAAATTGTAATATTGCCGGGCGCTGGTGGCTCACACCTATAATCCTAGCTACTCAGGAAGCTGAGATCTGAGGATTGCAGTTCAAAACCATCCCAGGCAGGAAGAGTTCATGAGCCTCTTATCTCCAATAAACCACCCGAGTAGAGTGCTCACCTTGAGCTGAAGAGTTCAGGGACAGTGCCCAGGCTGAGTTCAAGACCCATGACCGACCAAAAAAACCCTGTAATATTATGAGAAGTATTAAAGTATTTTGTTTTTTTTTGGGGGGCGGGGCAGGTTGGTCGTGGGACTTGAACTGCTGTCCGTCAGCTCTTCAGCTCAAGGCTAGTGCTCTACACTTGAGCCACAGCACCACCTCTGGTTTTCTGGTAGTTTATTGGAGATAAAGAATTTCACGGACTTTTCTGCCCAGGCTGGCTTTGAACAGTCATTCTCAGATCTCAGACTCCTGAGTAGCTAAGATTATAGGTGTGAGCCACCCGTGCCTGGCAAAGAAGTATTAAAATGTTTAAAAGGCACACAGTTACCTGAGTTATGTAACTGTAACCTCTCTATACATTAACTTTATAATAACAATAAAAAAAATTAAACAAGAGCATACAGCCAGTGGTAATTTGAGTTCAATTGACTACATTCCAAGAGGCTTCAACATTGGTATTACCTTAGTAGTGTGCTTCAATTTCTTGTAAATACTGAGAAAATGAAGATTTATTTTGGTTCAATGGAAATAATGGCATAAAGATGTTCTACCTCCATGGCTAACCATGTATTCTGGAAATAAAGACAGCTTACTACTGTTGTATTAGTTGATGAGAAGAACAATGACTGGTCGTAACTCTCTTATAGCTGTAAATTAGACAACAAAAAAGCAAAACAAACAAGCAAGCAAGTGAACAAAGTTAATTGTTCTTTTTCAGAAAAAATAAAATTAAAAAAGTTTCTCAAAGAGCATGCCTTTTATTTTCCAAGGCAGTGTCAAGATACTATCATGTACTCAGCAGTATACCTATTTCTAATAAAACTCATCTATCTCAAAAGAGAAATCATTACCTGATTTGTAGGCATTTTAGGCACGTTCACTTTCCACATCTGGGCTTCCCTAGAAATTGCCTTTTCCAATAGGAAAGACAATCTCTGATTTTCCAAAGGACCTGGAAACTTCATGATATCCTATAGAGCTGTCTGCCACCCAGCTTGATGTAGCTACCTATAAAATCAAATACAAATAATGCCCATTAATTATAGAATAAGTGTATTATTATACACACATTGGTATTAAGTAATTCATATAATAAAAGAATGTTATGAGGCAATATAGAATTTTATAGTACTTTAAAATACAATAATCAGTTATTCAAAACATTCTCACTTTAAATATGAAATTCAGTTATGAACAGAATGAAAACAATGCCATGTAATAGAACCTTATCAAAATGGTAATATTGGCAAAAAAATTTAAATCACTGGCTTTTATGTTAGAAAGTCTTAGTTATCACAAATATTACTCCAAAAAAAGCTAAAATGGACTGCTCATTTTTCTTCATTGAGTTTATATTTACATAAATAATAATTCAACAAGGATTGTGATAAAACTTGGCTGAGAGGATAAGAGGATGCAAGTATGGCTTTAGAGGAAGGTAAAATGAGAACCTATTTCTGCATTTCATAGTGGGTAATCAAGGAAATAAAAACTAAAGAGAAAATAATACAGTAGAGAACATAAAAAGAAAAAAAATCTATGAACAAAAGCTGGTTTTTAGAAAGATCAAAACTAGCAAACTCAGCCTAAGGGGAAAAAAAAACAGAAAAGGTAAATTATCATTATTTTTTTTTTTTGGTCGGTTGTGGGGCTTGAACTCTGGGCTTGGGCGCTATCCCTCAGCTCTTCAGCTCAAGGTGAGCACTCTACTACTTGAGCCACAGTGCCACTTCCAGTTTTCTAGTAGTTTATGGGAGATAAGAGTCTCATGGACTTTCCTGCCCCGGCTGGCTTTGAAACTCGATCGTCAGATCTCAGCCTCCTAAGTAGCTAGGATTACAGGCGTGAGCCACCTGCGCCCAGCAGAAAAGGCAAATTATTAAAGTCAGAAATAAATTAAAATTTTAAAAAATTACTAATATTATCAACAATTATAAACAAATCAGAGTTTAGATAAAAATGAACAAATTCCTAAAACCACAACCTACAAAAACTGACTTAAAAGCTGTAGGCAAAAGCCAGACACCAGTTAGCTCACACCTGTAATCCTAGCTTCTCAGAAGGCTGAGATCTGAGGATCTCAGTTGGAAACCGGCTAGGGCAGTAAAGTTTGAAACTTATCTCCAATTAAGTACAAAAAGCTGGAAGTGGAGCTGTGGCTCAAGTGAGTTTGTTCCAAGAATGTAAAGGTTGTTTTACTAATCAGAAACCAATTAATGTAATACACCATACTGATAGGGAAAAATTCTTTGTTCATAGTAGGAAAATCTAACGAAGGGAAAAAGTTCAAATTCCCTTAAATAATAAACAGAGCTATGAGTAGTAGTTTATGTCTAATTCTGCACATAGGAGGCAGAAGCAAGAATTTCAGTTGGTAGGCTGGGTGCTGGTGGCTCATGCCTATAATCCTAGCTATTCAGGAAGCTGAGATCTAAGGATACCCGTTTGAAGCTGGCCATGGCAGGAAAGTCCATCAAACTTTTAGCTCCAATAAACTATTGAAGAAAAGGCTGGAAGTGGAGCTTTGTTCACTGGTACAGTACTAGCCTTGAGCCAAAGAAGCTCAGGGACAGCATCCAAGTCCTGAATCCAAGCCCCAGGACCAACACACACAAAAAGAATTCCAACTGGAGGCCAACATGGGCTGTGTGGCAAGCTCACTTGAAAGAACAAAAGAACAATTAACTGGAGATATTCTACATTAAATGAGGATGTCTAAAATAAAAGTGCAACACCAACTCTGGATGGGATCCTATACAGGAGGGAAATACATTTGTCAGGATCACAGATTAAATGATATAAAAGAATGGACAGTAGCTTACATAAAAACAAATGTATCAATGCAAAATTTACTAAAATAGAAAAATTTCCTGTGATTCTTTCAGAAAAGATTCCTGTTGTCTAGAACTATGTTCTAGTAGTTTTAGGAATACTCATAATGTATGAGATAGATCTAAACAGAAATGTTAATGCCAATGTATGTAAATGTTTTAGTTTTTTGGGTTTTTTTTTTTTTTTTTTTTTTGCCAGTCCTTGGCTTGAACTCAGGGCCTGGGCACTGTCCCTAAGTTTCTTTTGCTCAAGGCTACCGCTCTACTACTTGAGCCACTGGCCTCTTCCAGCCTTTTCTATTTATGTGGTACTGAGGAATCAAACCCAGGGCTTCATGCATGCTAGGTAAGCACTCTACCATGAAGCCACATGCCCAGCCCTGTTTTAGTATTTTTTTTTTGGTTCCGGTTGTGGGGCCTGAGCTCTGGGCCTGGGCGCTGTCTCTCAGCTCTTCAGCTCAAGGCTAGCGCTCTACCACTTGAGCCACAGCGCCACTTCCAGCTTTTTTTTTTGCTTATGTGTGCTGAAGAATCGAACCCAGGGCCTCAGGCATGCAAGGCAAGCGCTCTACCACTGAGCCAACTTCCCAGCCCCGTTTTAGTATTTTTAATACTCCTTTATAAGGAAACTATGACATGGAGATGACAGTAGCTTCCGTTTTTACTTCTTTAACTAACAATGTACAGGTCTATTTCTTAACACTGTAATTCACATTTTTAGTTTAGATGAATAATGAATTTTGCTAAGAAATAAAATACAAAATCTTAAAATTTTACTTTTCTTCTTGCTACAGGGTCTCTGTAAGCTGAGGTTGGCCTCAAACTTGTGAGCCTCCTGCAACAGCCTTTGAAGATAACATAGTATCTTTTGTTAAGGTACACTCAAACACATGCAGCAGAATTCTGAATGCTTTTTCATTTCTAAAAACAAAAGGACTATATAGGTTGGATATTGATTATCCAAAATGCTTAGGACCAGAAATATTTCATATCTTTCTGGATTTTCGAATATTTGCATATAGATAATGAGGTGGATGTGATCCTAATCTGAAGAAATTCATTTCTATCCATCTTATACACACAGCTTAAAGGTAGTTTCATACAACTTTTCAGTGATTTTGAATATGAAATAATGTTTCAGGGTGTGGAATCTTCCATTGTAGCTAGATACACTGCTCAAAAATCTTTGGCTCTTGGAACATCTCATAATTTCAGATTAGGGATGAGTAACTTGAGTTTTGGTTGGCATACTTCACAATACTAACTTTAAAATAGTTTCATGTTTCTCTTCCCATTGTCTCAACTATTATTTCTGCTACATTACTTTCCATGATTATCAAAAACTTAATTTCTGAATAATTTTAAAATGTTAATTTTTGTATAGCATTAATTTTATTACCAGTATACATACAGGGCTTCCTGATCTTCTGAAAAAAAGAAAAAAAAAGGCTGGTACACCACAACTTCATTACCACATTATTTATGATGATTAAAACGCCAACCCTATTAACAATCCTGTACTGATGCGGACTTCTCGATCTTAGTTCTTCCTCTGAAGGATTAATGTGCACCTATAAGAACCTCCTTGATTTTATTTAACAACAATAATCAATTACTGGTAATTTGTCCAAAACAATCGAATAGTTTCCCACACACTGGTCTTTTAACTTGAAATGTCTGTACATTTCTTCCAAAACCTGCTGTCTATGTGAATAGAACTGTCTTCTGAAATTGTGCCCTGACTTCTTGCATCTGTATTTGGGCATAATTTTACTTTTGCATTTGACTGTTTTGTGATGACCACACTTGTAAACCTGTCTCATATTTGAGGTGTCTTGATGACTAACACTCAATTTGCAAAGTTTAGCACCATGCCAAACCCCTAAATCTATTTTTAAAGATGAATAAGCCTGCATGTGATGAATATTAATTACACAATCAATACAAACCATGAGCACTCTCAGCTTCCAATCTTGACTAAGATGAGTTCCACTCTAACCTACTAAGATGTTACACTACCACATAAACTCATTATCTGTTAACTGCAGATCACGGTGTCTACTACACCTTCCAAGTCAGTACATGGTGATTCTATTAGATGATCAGTATTAAAAAATGTCTCCTAGTCCAAGAGATCAGAATCTTCTCCCTCTGGTTTCTGATCAGTCTACTTAAAAATCTCTTTTCTTTCCTAATTTGTTTGCCCACTTCTTTCTGTTCATCTGACACAAATGACCTGCAAATAACATGACTGTTAATACAAATTCAAACTCAGGACAAAAACCACATGACAATAAGAGCCAGACTACTATCTGAAGGGATACTTGGTTAAGGTTGTAGAGGCTAAGCTCCTCTCCTATGAGGCAGGTACCATCTGCATCCAAGAGTCCTCCCTGAGGAGGAAATGAGCAGCAAACAACTAAGGACAGTTGCGTGGCAAATTATAAGCCTCATCAAGTGTGCTGCCCAAATGCCAAGTAGTTCGTTCCTTCACTGTCAGAAAATCGAAATGTTTTGCCTTGACATTCAAACATCTCCCATCCATCCATCCTTCCTACCGACAGATACCTGTCATTATTTTGCCACAATCCTCAACTTCTGTCAAAATGGTCGGCAACGGAAGCCCCTAAGACTCTAGAGAGATCGATGAACGCTCCCCTTTCAAAGTTTAGTATTTTAATCTTGTCCTTTGGGATGCAACTCAATTCTCACCTCCTCCGGTTTCACCCACCCACCCACCCACCCACCCACCCACCTACCTACCTACCTACCTACCCAGGCCCTGGATGATAAATCTTCCCCTCCAATTTCCTAAGCTCTAGCGGCTCGCCCCATTGGCTTGGCATTCACACCGCAGCAAGTTATCTTCCAGCAGGACCGGGGGGGGGGGGTCAGAGGGTAGCGATGGGACCCCTTCCTTGGTGCAATACAGGTTCAAGGAGCCTAGAACACGCACCTGAGTAGGCTGCTGCTGCTGCTACCAAAAACAAAAAACAAAAAAGTTACTCGCGGACCCAAAAAGCCGCCCGGATTTCAAACCAGACAGGTGCGAGGTGGCTCCACCAAAGACAGAAGGGGGCGCCGCTGAAGTCGCCCCCCCCCCAGGGGGGCGGGTCTCGGCGAGAAGCGCGCGCCGCCGGCACTTCCCTCTCGGGCGGTGTGTGCGCGCGCGCGCGCGCCCGGAGCCGGGATGCAGCTCACCCCCTCGCCCCCACTCCCACCCCCAGCTCCGTCCCTCACCTTCTCCTCCTCTTCCTCCTCCTCCTCCTCCCCGGCAGAGCTGTAGGCTTCGCAGTGGTGATGCGGGGTCATCCGGGGGGGCCCGTTACCACTTCATCCCCCGGGGCGCGCGGCGGCAGGGCGCACGGGACGACGGCCGGGCTGCTGAGGAGGGAGAAGAGGGGGAGCCGGGCCGGGGGGGAATGGGGACGCAGGCGTTCGGGCGGGACGCACACGGCCGCGGCCGTAGGTCAGTCAGCGAATTAGTTCCATGATGACCCCGGGCCCGAGGCCGCCGCCGTCACCGCCGGTCCCGCTCCTCCGACCGCCGCCGCTGGTGCCCGGGTGAGGAGGGGGCTCCCACTCGCCATAGGGCGGCGGGGGCCGGGGAGAGGCGGGGGATGAGACCGGCTCTGCCCCTGCCCGGGGGAAGCGGCTTCGAGGGGAAATGGTGAAAGGGGGGGAAGGGAGGAAAAAAAAGAAAAGAAAAGGAAGGGAAAGGGGGGGGAAAAATAAGAAAAAGCGAGACAGAGGCGCTGCCGCGTCCGCTCGCGGGGAAGGCAGGGGAGGGAGGGGAGGGGCGAGAAGTGCCGGCTCCCCAAGCTCCGCCCCCGCGGAGGGATCCGCGGGCTTCTGCGGCTCTTGTAAACAACGCCGCGCTAGCCTCCCGCCCCCTCTTCTTTTCCCTTCTCCGTCGCTCTCTCCTCCAACGAACGAATAGAGAAGGCTAGCAAAAAAAAAAGCTTTGGCAGCTGAAGTAATTGGTATGGGGCGGGGGGTAGAAGGAGGCAGGACGTTTTCTCTGGGATAAGTCGAGATGCGCGGACTCGTTTTCCTCGGGAGCGGAAGAGCCTCTTGCCATCGGCACGGTGACGTAAGCGCCTTCTCTGCTCGCTGAAGAGGCGTGCAGTGGCCGGAGAGTGCGCTGCGCATGCGCCCCTGAGAAGAAAGAAGCCGCTGGCTGAGCGTTTGCTTTAGGGGGCCGGGCGGGGAGGGGGCGGTGTAAGGGTTGAACTTGCTCCTTGACCCAACCTGGAGCCTTCGGGTGTTTTCCACTCCGACTTGTCTTCCTAGCTTCTATGCAAGTTTTATTGCGAAAAGGCAGGTGATCTGTTGTATAAAGATGTGCTGTTTGGTGACCTCGCCAAAAAAGGCGGCGGGGGGGGGGAGGTTGTGGTTTTCCCTCCCTCCCCTCTGTAACGTGGTGTGGGTGGAGAGAGATTCTAGAGCGCTCTGGAAATCAGAAAATTGAGGGGATCCTATTCTCCCGGGTGCTTAGGTGCATTAAAACGGAATTGTACTGGTGATGGCTGGGAGCCTGGCTTGGTAGGGCGCCCAGAGAACTCTATCCACTGAACCAACACGCATGGAGTATTTTAGAGTAGATTTTATTACTAACTAGATCCTGAACGAATATGTGGTGACATCAATACGTTTCACTTAGAATTCTTCCCCAAATGGTAATGGTTGATAACTTTTAATTGCTGTAATGGTTAAAAAGGTTAGGTAGCCTTAATAGAGAAAAATGTAGTAAAAAGGATTGTGAACAGGATATGTAGTCCTAATAGAAAGCTTTAGTAAAGGGGAAGCCTCAAACTCAACCATTTATCGAAGTGGTCTCATTTGTGTTTTCCTTTTCAGCTTGTTATGTTTTAATAGTGAAAGAGGGGGGGAGGTGCGGGGAAACACCGCAGCTGAATTTATCCAGGCCACCAGACTAACAAACCTGGAAGTAACCAAGTTCCTGCCTTCAGAGAGTTTACCATCGAACCACAGAGGGGCTAGCCACTGAGTTAGTACTAATTAGCACTATCTGGAATTACCCAATGAGATCATTTGTTTACTTGTATCCCCTTCTTAGAATTTGCAGTCACAGATGGCAGGAATCTTGAATGCTTTGTTTCAGCCTATATCTCTGCATGTAAAAGCCTGGTAATATTGATTATTGACTGAATAAACAATTGCCAGTATCACAAGAATTAAAATGGGAAATTGCAGACTCCTATAAGAAACACTTGTAGCCTAGGTTACTATAGCAAAGAAGGTTTCTCTGAAGTGTCATCTAAGATGAAATTGACTGGGCCCAAAAAATTACATAAAGGGCAGAGCAACTACATGTGTGCAAAGGCGCTGAAGCTGACATTTGAAGTCTCTGGAAGCTAGTGTAGATGTTCCTCAGAGAATTGGGGTAGGGGAGGAGAGCTGAGGCCAGATTGGAAGGCAGGGGACTAATTCTGAGACAGGGGGATAGAGGGGGACAGGGAAATTGAGAAAACCCATGGGAAGATCTGGAAAGATTTCAAGTAGGTTATATGTGTACCCTGAATTATTTTTATTGTTTTAAATACACTTCATATAGTTTTTTTTTTAACAAGGTCAACATTTTTCTGCATGATGACCTGAGTGTAGCATTCCTGCATAATATTTTAATATAGCATTCACAAATGTGTCAGATCATGAAAATGCTTCTCATTTTCATTCTTGAAAGAATGACAGGGCTAAGAGAGTATCTCAGTGGTGGAACATTTGCCTAGCATGCACAAGGGCTTATATTCAATCTTCCCAGCACAATGATGTATCCACATAAGAATGTATGCAAGAATGTTGTGAACATTGTGAACATTATTCACAATAGGCAAAAGGTGAAATAATTTCAGTGTTCTTTGCCATGGTTTGAATACAGTTTGTGCCCACAAAACTCCCATTGAAACTAGAAGGCCACCAATATAATAGTCCTGAGAAGTGTGGCACCTATAAAAGGGATTGTCTTTCTGAAGACATTAGATTCTTTCTCATGGGAATAGATTCATTCTTCAAAGACTGAGTTGTTACAAACAGCTCTATTTCCTTGGCTCACTCCTTGCTTCCTTTCTCTTGTTTCTTTTCCACTTTTGATCTCCTCTGCCCTTCTACATGCATCTGCAGCCTCATCCACCATGAGACTCTGAGAGGCCAACCAGATGCCAGCACCATGCTTCTAGGTTTCCAGACTACAGCAGAAGTAAACATATCTTTCTCTTTTTTCCTAAACTATCCATTCTCCTGTGTTGTTATAACAAAAATAAAACAAAAATATCCTTCAACCAATAAATGCTTAATTGAAATGTGTAGCTCCATAATTGCATATTACCTTGCTGTTAAAAGGAAGTACTGATAATGTGCTATCACATGAGAGACCTTTGAAAATATGCTAAAGGGAAGAAGGCAGTCACAAAAGATCATGTTGTAATTCCATTCCTATGAATGTGAAGAATAGGCAAATATATAGAAAACACTTTAGTGTTGCTTAGCGTAGGGGCAAGGCATGGGACTGGCAGGTGATAGTTAAAATGTGTTGGGTTTTTAAGGTGATAAAAGTGTTAAAATTGTGATGATAGTTGCTCTGAATATATTAAAAGCCAGTGAATTACACACTTTTAATGAATACATTGTAGGGTCTGTGGGTTATATGTCAATAAGATGAAATGCAAAAAGTGAAATTAACACCTTTTGAATAACTTCTTTGGGTTCGTGAATCTAAGGGTATATATATTCTTATGGTTTTAAAGTAAGTACTGAATTGCCAGATTGCATAGAAATTGAATCAATTAAAATGTAGGAGTATTTAAGAGCTCCTACTTATGTATTTATCCTTTTGGAAGTCCAGGTTCATTAAAAGCTGTCTTGCAGTTTGTGAGGTTGCCAGTATCAATTTAGTCCACAATCCTATAAATATAATTAAAACAATTGATATGTGGAAGGAACTGGTTCCAGTTGTCTGAAGAGTGTGGATATCCTGTTTCCTCGTTATCTGTCAGACTTTAATTCAGCAGCTTTTTCCTTGATAACTTTTTTCAAAGAATTATAGTTATAAAATGGAGAATAATAACTAGTATATATTGATGTACCGTGCACTGTCTCCCCCTCTTCCTGTGGTATTACTAAGGCTTGCACCCTTAATGCTTATTAGGCTGTTGTTCTACCACTTAGCCATGTTATCTTGTCCTCTTGGTGCTAGTCCTAGCTAAATCGTCTGTCCTATACAGCCTCTAAGCTTGATGCTATAGAGGTTACTCATCTGAGTCAGTCACTAGACATTAGTCATGAACCATTAGTTCATTATATAACTAACATGTGTCTATATGTAAAATATGTACATATGTGTGTGCTGAATCTTTGTCATTATGTTAAATATTAAATAATTTTATTTGTATACAGGTTTACATTGTAAAGTAACTATAAAACACATTTCACTTGTTAATATTCTATTTTTTTTCTTTTGCCAGTCCTAGGGCTTGAACTCAAAGTCTGGGCTTTTCTACTCAAAGCTAGCACTCTACCACTTGAGCCACAACTCAACTTCCAGCTTATTTGGTGCGTAATTGGAGATAAATGTCTCACAAACTTTCCTGCCCAGGATGGCTTTGAACTGTGATCCTCAGATCTCAGCCTCCTAAATAGCTAGGATTACAGGTGTGAACCACTGTCACCCAGCCAATAGTCATTTTTAGTTGATACTTTTTACCAGTGCATTTATTACATTCCAATTAAATTTAGATTTTTTTGTTGTTGTTGTGGGGCTTGAACTCTAGGCCTGGGCACGGTCCCTGAGCTCTTCAGTTCAAGGTGAGTGCTGTACCACTTTAGCCACAGAGCAACTTTTCTGCTGGTTAATTGGAGATGAGAGTCTCATGGACTTTCTTGCCTGGGCTGGCTTTGAACACGATCCTCAGATCTCAGCCTCCTGAGTAGCTAGGATTACAGGCATGAGCTACCAGTGCCCAGCTTTATATTTAGATTTTTAATATCTCACTCAACTGAGCAACAGAGATAACTATAAGATTTTGTTCACTTTGTTTACAAGTTTTCATTTATTCATTCAGTTGGTCAATTTACATATTCAATATATTAATAAAAGACCTTCTGAAAACATAGAACTCAGTTTATGGTACTGAATTGGCCAAAAAATCAGAGATTTCTTTGATCAAGCATTATTTGGTCAAAACCTATTGTGGCTTTTTTTTTTGCTGGTCATGGGGCCTGACCTCTGGGGCCTGGGCACTGTCCCTCAGCTCTTCAGCTTAAGGCTAGCACTCTACCACTTGAGCCACAGCACCACTTCTAGCTTTTTCTGCTTATGTGGTGCTGAGGAATCGAACCCAGGGCCTCATACATGCAAGACAAGCACTCTACCACTGAG